TCTCATTAGACCAACGATATCAGACAGGATTTATAAATTAGTTAAGTATTAGGTATAAGGCAACATATGTCACTCTTGTGTTTTAAAAAGTGTTTGATTCGATTCCAATCTATTCATCATTATCTTCCTCCTTATTCTACTCCCGTAGGGTCGGCGCAACAGGTTTTTGTCCTCCATATAACTCTATCATACGTCATCTCAGTCATCCTTCCCTTTTTGATTATGTTATCTATCTCTTTCTAGGTCTATCTCTACCGGTGTACCAATCGATTCCAATCATATTGTCCCTTAGGATTCCTTCGTGATGCATATACTACCTTTTAGACTCTAGTGGCAATGTAAATAACACGTGGTGATTGTGCTGTTGTTTGCAGACGAGGCGCTGTGCAGCCACGTGTGGTCGATCTGCTACCAGGCGGAGAGCCTGTTCCGCGTGCGGCAAGCGGCGCCGTGCGGCCGGCGCTGCTCCGTGCGCGTGCCGCCCGCGCGCGCCGCCGCGCTGCCCGTGCCGCTCGGCCAGCCCGCGCCCATGACGTACGTGCACGCTTCTTACCTCTCCACATTACCATCCTTTTATTTATTTCATTTACCACCCATCTGTACTTATACTGCATAGTAAATACCGTTTAACCTCACAACTTTTAGCTCCACACATATTTCACTACTTTTACAACATTTCTTATATTATATTAAATAGTAACTTCACCTTTTACCATTCCTCCAATTACGTAAAATAAACATAAAAACACTACAAATCACGTTAATAGTAACTGTCCTGGCTCTCAAAACCTAATCTAGATTATAAGTCTATTACTGTTTTAGTCATCTTTATAAAGCCCCGGTAGACTACAGACATTCGACCGATAGTTTGATAGGGTGAGACTGTGAAGTCAAAATCATATAAAACCATAACATTCACTCACTAATGAAGCAGCCGACTCAATTATCGCTTGAGTATGTAGTGTGTACGCTTGCCGATTTTCACCGACTTCCTAAGTTTGTCGTCTGTCTGTATATTTTTCATCGTTTTTTTGTATTTCAGAGCGTCCGGTGCGTACTGCGTGGAGGACTTCACGGCACCATTCTGTCCAGCGACGTCCGGCTTGAAGGAGGGCGACTTACGCTGCTGCCTCGACAAGCAGTACGCGGCCGCCGCCTCTGCCCCCGCGCCGCACCGCCCGCGCCCCCGCCCCCTCGTGCGCCTGCGCGCGCAACGACTCAAACCCGACCCCATAGACTACACTTACCCTGATAACGTCACAGACTATACCACAGAATGAGTATAGCTATACAAACTTTACAGTAGCTCGAATTTTAAGCAATAGCATAATGGTTGAAGATGATTGCCTAATTGATTTAAATATTAAATATATTTTACGATTATTTAAAACTGTTGCTCGCGACTGTGTCTACGTGAAATTAGAATATAGAGCCATGTATAACTGATAATGATGACTTTTTAATGGTGCAAAAGATTTTGAAATCGGCCCAGTAGTTTTTGAATTATTTCAATACATACAAAAATAAAAATCTTATATCTTCATTGCACTAGTACAGGCTAGAATAAATGAATTCAAAAGCGTAGTTTACTCAATGGATAGTAAGTCCATCTGGCGATATTCGCTGCGAACTCCGAGCCGCAATAAACTTTGAATCTCATAATACTTGTTGCAAACTTAAAGAATGCAATATCGCTTAATGGTTTAAGTAAATTAAGTTATGAGAATCAATGTAAGATATTGTGCGTTTTCACTGCCGAAATACTTGTAGAGAAAATTATTATTTTAGTTTTTCAAAGTTATGTAACAGACGACTAGTTCAGGCGGTACAAATTATAACCATGTAAGACATTGACTGATAATTATTTTTCTTTTGTAAGTTAATTTAATATTTTTTAGTTCTAATAGTTTTTTAATACTTTTACCGCCCTTAGGGTTCTTATCTTTAAGAAACTTAAAATGGTAAATTAACGATATAAAACCAAAGAATTTGGATAATTTTTAATAAATAAAATACAACTGGATTGAATTTATTTTATTTAAAAAATAACATTATCGCATTACATTCCTTTATGATAGAAAAGTGGTGAGAGTTAAAATGGCGGGTGTAAATTACGCTGTAATTTCGTTCTAGAGAAGGTACTATTTTACGCGAGGTACTAAATAGTACAAATTAGGTACATTTTTAGCAAGTGGTATAATTTAATTCGCTATGGTACACCCGCCATTTTGTCTCTTACTAAAAGTGACTTACTAAACAAAAGATGGAGCTTATTTTGCGAAATGTTGTTACTTGTCAAACAGGTGGCACTAAACTTGACAACGATAGTACCTTTCAGAGATACTACCTGTAAAGAACTTGTCTATTTTTTATGGAAGGTGGTAAATGAACAGTACTCAAACCATATTTATTAAGTAGATGAAATAAATTACCATATACGAAATAATTTAAACCCTACCACTTATTCTTTTTCGTTGTCCATCTTTTTTTTATTTTTCTGTTAATTTATTTTAGACAAAAAAAAACTCTTTTGTATAACTCCTTTGTTGTCTATGTCTATATGGACCGTCTATTTTGAAAGTGGTGAAGTCGATTTTCTCTTGATTCGAGAAAACGAGAGGTTTACATATCTGTTAAACATTTCATTTCATCATTACATATCTGTAAAATTTAGGCAAATTGTATAAAGTCTGGCAATGTTTCTATTGTTTTGTAAATCAATTTTATTATATACATTTGTTTGAGGTGAATTACTACATTAATAAATATTTCTGAGGTGCAAACTTACACCACTCTCAAAATAAACGGTCCATATATAAAATGCGTGTCAATGTTGGGCCTTGCCGGCCATCAGCAGCGAGAGCAGCGCCGCCTTCTCCTTCTCCTTGCGGCGCACCACGTCCAGCGCGCGGCTGCGCCACGTGCTCTTGCGCAGCTTTATGGGCCGACTGCCCACGTAGCGCCCTGCGCACACGTCACATGTCACACGTCACATGTCACACGTCACATGTCACACGTCTGTTGTCACATGTCACATGTACAGTCAAGGAAATACGCGGTATTACATTTATAGGACAAAATGCATTCAGTATTGTTTAAAAAAATTGGTACAGCTCTGGAGGATTGGAACAACACTAGTTCATTGGCATATACCTGCCCCCATGACAGCTGTCAATGTCATTCAGACATTAGAATTGCCACGACCACTTTCGCGTAATTTATCATTTCAATTAGTCCGAAACTAAGCATAAATCTTTCAACTCGACTTCTATATATTATATTTATAAACCACATTTCTAAGCCTTGTAGACTAATAATAAATATATTCAGTGCAACCAAGTTGTTAAGCAATTTTACTTTCACACGGAATGGAATAAAGTTTAAATTAGATTGAAAAGAAAATGGAGTTAAACTATAAATAATATTAAATGGACATTTCTTTTTCTAATTTTAACAAAAAGACTAACAGATGCACTATCCATGACATATAAAAATGAATCTAGTGTTTGTAAACTCACCGTCCATTTCTTTCATTGCTTTGATAAAATCCCCGGGATCCTTGAAGCTGACGAAACCGAATCCTTTGCTTTTGTTAGTTCGCTTGTCTCTGATCACCTTCGCGCGTTGGAACGACGTGTATTTACTGAACGTCCGCGTCTAAAAATGAAATACAGTAACTTAAATTTTCACAATTATTTACACATAACAAACTTAATGAAGAAGATGTTGACAACATCTATACGTTTACAAAAGAATAATTTAAAAAAAAATATGCTGCCATAGGAATATAAAAATTAACACAATTAAAAATAGTTTTAATACAAAATAAATTTAATTAACGAACATTCTCTGTTAATATATACAAGTATACCAAAATGATAAGACTAGAAATAGTAGTAATTACCAGCAGTTCATCGGTGACGTCATTACCGAGGTCTCCACAGAACATCCTGAAGTCATCATCAGGCCAGTCCAGCAGCGTCACGTCCTCCCACACCTGGCCCCCCGCCGTCCTGATCACCTGCCACAGTACTCAGGCATCATCACCAGCTCACTATACGTCCCCACCGAGGGGCTCAGAGCTTACCCTAAATTAGGAGGGCCTACGCCATAGTCAACCACGCTGGCCCACTGTGGGTTGGTTGACTTTACACAAGTCTTTGAATTTCTTTGCAAAATAAAAAAATGTAGCTTATGTGTCCTTTCCGACTATATTTATCTGTGCCAAATTTCATAACAGAGAAGTATTAAGCCATTCTAGATATAACTTTTAACAAACATTCATCCAGCAAAATTTTCGAGATTACTCAAACGCGTCGCTAGTCAACGAAATTTAAAAGGGGCAAATAGTAAAATTTTTCTTTTCATTCAAAGTATGACATATAAAAGGTAGTCCAATATTTTCAATGAAATGGGTATTTTTAGTGTTGTAAACATTAAAAGGCTTTATTTACATGTATTTCATCGTCTTTAATATTCCTTTGGTTCTTTTTTAGACACCCATTTTTCCTAAAGTGACATTTTGACATCCTTATATTACTTATATGTATATTACAGCCAGTATGTATTAATTGTAGATCAAACCTCCTTATCAATCCACAACAGTTAGTATCTTTTTTACATATTCTATATTCTCAGTAGTTACTTTACCTTTCTGTGTTTCTTCTCCTTCTTGAGTTTGGGCGCAGTGTCCTGCGGCGGCGGCGGCGGCGCGGGCGGCGGCGTCGGCTCGCGCTGCACTATCACCTCCGGTACCGGCGAAGGTTCACGTTTCTACAAAGTTTAATACAATATGATTAAAATATCACACCAAAACATTTAGAAATCGATAATTTCTTTACTATAATAACAAATATAATGTGTAATCTATGTGAAAAATGTTGTTTGGTAACTTTTATACTAAGTGATTGCTGGGGGAGGCCTACATTCAGCAGTTGATGACCTAAGACTGATGATCATCTTCCCCAGCTCACTAAATATGCCCACCGAGGGGCTCGGAGCCAACCCTATTAAGGGGGGAGACTAGGCCATAGTCAACCACGCTGGCCAAGTGAGGGTTGGTTGACTTCACATATATCTTTGAATTTCTTCGCCGATATGTGCAGGTTGCATCACAATGTTTTCCTTCACCGTAAGAACGTCGGGTAAATTATGTACATATGAAAATTCGAAAATCACATTCGAACCCAAGACTTGTAGATTAAAAGTCAAGTGTTTAAACCACTGAGTCACCGACACTCTCTAAGACTGATAATGAAGATTTATTTTTATTTATTTATTTATTCCAAATATATTAAATACATTCTCTACGTCTTTTACTTTGATGTTGATGTTATTATCTTATATGTACTATCAGGGATTCTGGTGGTGTATCACTTTATAAGTTTTCTATGTATTGAGTCGACAACACAGAAAATACCCAATATGAGACAGTTTTAAAATATGTGTGATAAAATATCAATCAGTGGTACACAGCTTATTGCTTATTGCTTGTTAGTATCCCATCTTTTGTACAAATTACTGCAATCTAATTGGTTATTTGCTAGAAGAGACAAAGTTAACCTTGCTCAATAAGGCAAATTTTCTATAAATGAACACCACAAAAGTCCTGACTGTACATAATTTATACGTTTTAACTTGAAATAATATCAGCGGTCAGTTTTTTTTTTATAATATAAGGTGACAAACGAGCAAGCGGCCACATGAATCCACCGAAACAGAAAGCAACCTCTGCCCATAAACATTCGCAATTACAGATGCGTTGCCTATCCTTAATTGACAGAGGAGACGCACATAAAGAGGACATTTCCCCTTCCTATGTGTCTCCTCCACCGTCAAATCCACTTTTCCTTCCCATCCTTTTCGTCCTAAGAAATGGGTGGAAATACAAAGGGGCTAAAATTAAGCCTCCGGCACCACACTCATCAGACGAAAAGTGGAATTGCTCCCACTTCACGTCTGTATTCTGTGTTGTTGTGGTATTTCACCGGGCGAGCCGGCGCATTCATGCTAAGATGTTAAAGCGGGCTCTACCACTATTAAATAACACTATTTAGTACTTGAACATACCCTCTTTTTGCCTTCTTTCTCTTTCTTGTCATCATCATCTTTAGGTTGTTTGTACAGTTTGGGTGCAGCAGAGAGCACAATAGGCTGCGGCTTCGGTGGAGGAGGAGGGACCAGCTGTGGTCCTGGTAGCCCTGGTCGGAGGAATGGCATCGGGCCAGGGTATGGATCCGAATGCTCAGAAGGTCTTAATCTTTGCACCTGAAAAGTTGACAATTTGCTTTTTTATATTTACATGAACATTAGTAAATTTATTCACTAAAGATGCTAGAATTAAAAAAAAAAAATTTGATTTGCTTAAAACACCCATATTAATTCTAAGAGCAATATAATGTATCGTAAGGCAGTTTTAAGCAGAATCGTATAACAGGGGTAACAATTTATAAAAAACTTAAAATTTTACAATTACATGCATTATGTTGCATTCACATACACAAATGACTTTAATTAAATAAAACACAGAAGCTAAACAAAATTATTAATGAAGCAAATGGATTCAAAGGCCCCAATAAAAAAGCAATTATTTTAGAAACCATATGCATTGTGAGTAGGATCCTGTCTCTGCAGCCTTGACCACTGGTTGCTTAAGTCTTCGTATTGTGCAGCCGATGCACTATTTATTTACAATATGTTTTATTTTTGTTATATGATATGTAAAATATATTATAAAGTGAATACCGAAGCTGGGACCATGAGTGAAGATGTTTGTGGCACTCCAGGGTACATGAGGCTGGACCCCATCATGCCATTGTCCATGACAGGTGAATCGTAAGGCGGTGGCAGCAATGTGGGAGGCGGCGGCGGCGGCGGCACGCGCTCCAGCCGCTGCTGAGCTGCCCCAAATGTACTTGAGCTGATCACCGCTCTGGGGCCCGTCGCAATCTCCCCACCAGATATCTCCGCTTCAAACCTGACAATAATTTGGAGACATTGCTTCAAAATCTCGTCGAAGATTAGCAAGTGCAAGTAAATGATTCTCGTTTTGAAAACCAATCTTACCTTGACATCTCATCTTGCATTTGTTGAAATTTGTTAGAATCATCCATTGTTCACCTCTTTGTTTGACCTTTAAAAGAAGCCCAAAAATTACAAGTAATGAGAACTATCTGTTATCATTTAATTATTGTTGAGGTCCGCCGATACGTACACATAAGTCCATCTTGATGTTTTGGATGTCTTTAATTAAAGTATATTCAAACAACCGTATTTATTATTTGTAATGTCACAATGATATGTACTCAATTAAATAAAATATCAACAATTACAATAACAAATTAGGTTAAATTCAATGAAATAGTTATTATAACTATAGAAAAACGTCAGACATAGGTTATGAGTTGAGTTTCATAGATAATAAATAATAAGTAGAGCACAGAACACAGATATTGAGTTTTTGTCTTTTTTATTTTTGAGATTTTTAGTTTCAAAGTCTCAGAGTCTGGAAGGGTTTTAATATTTTTGTAATTCACTCAAAAACATTTATTGTGCCTGATATGCTGAAGTATGATTATCTCGCGAGGTGTTTTTCTCTTTACAAAAATAGAAAAACTTTTGACAGCTGCGCGTGGCGTGACATTTTTAAACCTGTCAAACTTACTATTCACTATTACTCTTTGCGTTTTTCACTTCGCGATTGTGACATACGTTTGTTTTCTTTTAATTAACGTTGGATCCTAATTGAATTGCTAATGGTTATTGTAAAGAGTTAGAAATGGTACCGAACTATTCTTGAAGTGAGTACCAAGATTGGTATATTTTACGACGTTAAACTTATCGTAAAATATAACTTTTGCTACGATGATTGAAGAAGACAATAAAACCCTTTGGTGTGGCAATCTATCTGAACAGGCTACCGAAGAGTTACTTTATGAACTCTTCCTACAGGTAAAATAAGATTATCACAGTAACTTGTATGTTTTTAAGTCAATGTTTTATTTTTTCTTCCAATTCGCAGGCTGGACCATTAGAAAAAGTTCGGATACCAAGAGAAAGAGATGGGCGTCAGAAAAATTTTGCATTTATCACGTACTGCCATGAGGTGTCTGTTGCTTATGCATTACAATTGTTTCGAGGGACAGCATTATTTCATAGGACATTAAGTCTGCAGGGCCGAGGCCGGTTGATGCCTTTACCTCCACCAATAAGGAGCTACGGTCCAGAACCTATAGACTTCATGTACCAACATAATATTGCAAATCAATTTACACATATGACAGAACGATTATCAGATGAAGCTCGCCATATTATTCAATATCCTGTTCAAAGAAATGATTATAATGATAAATTGTCAATTGCCAGTTTACAGGGTAATTGGTCACACAGACATCACCCTTATTACTCAAAGGATAAGGGTCATAAAGATGACTTCCAGCCAAAGGATAAACACAATGACAATCATAAAAGTAGGGGTAAACAGCATAATAACCGCTGGAGAGACAGAAGGAATAATAAAAAGAATAGTGGTTATCATAGAAGAGATTAAGAGAAATATTTCATGTCTACACTTTTAATGAAAAAAAATGAAGACTGTTTCTACAGGAAGTTGACTAGAATGTCTTTATTAAATGGATTATGTGTAAAACAATTTCATATGTTAAGTATGATTTCGACCATTACATGGGACAAAGTGTTTTTTACAAAAGTTTGTAGTAATAAATGTTTATCCAATAGTGATATTCCAATAAGATAACATCTTTTTGGTTTTTAATTTAAATATGTAATATTTTTGATATTCTTTGACAAAAACTTTCAAAGTAAACATTTTGATACTAATATCAAAATGTTCTTTCTGAAATTCAGTTCCAACACCTAAATGTTGGAACTGAATTTCAGTTTCAATAAAACAAACATTTTATTTTAGAAACAAAGTAGTTTTGTTTTATATTTACCTTTTTTTTAACTTTAATTGACAAAGTACTTTATTGTGCAATTGAAAATTTTAATAAAATATTTTTAACCCAGAATTTACGAAGCTTGTTGCTGTTCTGGTAATTTAGCTTCCATTTCATTTCCTCCTATACTTTTAAATTCCTCCTGAAAACACATTAATTAAATCTTACTAATCTTATAAATGCGAAAGTTTAGATGGATATATGTTTGTTAGAGTTTGTAGCCTAAAAGGCTGAACGGATCTCGGTGAAATTTGGCATAGATGTAGAGGATAATCTGGAAGAACAGATAGCCTATTAACTTTTGTTTTTTTTTGTTAATTTTACACGGACGCAGTCGCGGGCGAAAGCTAGCATATATAAACTTCCTCAATAATAATTTTTTAAGTGTTTGTTACAAAATGTCTCATGAGTTAATTGCCTTTACGATAAATTTATCAGTCATATTCAGCATTTAAAACGTAAGCAAGTATGAGTTTACTCTTTCTATGTCATTTTCAAATTGAAATAAATAAAGTTGCAAAATTAACAATATACACTTACAATTCTGTTTCTATATTTGTACATCACATACCCCAAGATTTCGTATATGAATGCTAAAGAAACCAAGTACAGTGAAACAGTTATGATTTTTTCGTGTGGGCCAAAAGCGTCGGAGAGCAATATTTTGTATACCAAGTAAGTGCCAAGGCATCCTCGGAGCAATATGAACAACACTAGGTACGATATTTCCACCACATAATATAAGAAAGATTCATTATATCCCCCGTCGCGGAGAAACCTGTTAAAATACCAAAATCTATGGTATACTGTTGCATTAACATTGTAAAGAGAAAAGATTTGCATTTTTGTATGTATTGCAATAACTCAAAAACTACTAGGCCGATTTCAAAAACTCTTACACTATTAAAAAGTTAAGTTATCAATGAATAACATAGGCTATATTTTTTAATTTCACTCGAGGCAAGTCGCAAGCAACAGCTAATTCATAATAATTTAACTGAGACTACTTTGGAATTTCGGTCCTTCGATGTTAGACTATATTCTTTCTAAAGGTTAGGTCCTATACAACTTACAAATTTAACCTGGAAAACAGTAATAAAAAATATGACTTCACTAGTTTTCAAAATGTACTTGAAAATCTACGTTAATTTATTGAAGCTATTCATGAGAATTCGGATAAAAGATACGTACCATCTTGTTTGTAAAAGGGGATTCGTGACCTCTAATAATGCGATGGTGCAAGCGAATGTACACCCAGTGTTCTCCATGCTAAGGTACATATTTATGGCGATGATCGAGCATAGGTGATGGAAGAGCATAGTGTAGCTCTTACTCCAGTACAGCAAGCACCAGAGGAAGTCGAATGTAAAGTAGCCCCACGACCAGAACATAAGAGCGTATTGCCACCATGATAGTCTCACTGTAAAATGCCTTAACTGTTAAATTAAGTAAAACTTGACATAGGTATGATCTTAGATTCGAGATCTATAATTAAAGAATTTCAAGGGGATAGCATTGTATTGTACTTTACATAAAAAGTAAATAAAAAAATTGGGATGTAGAGAAAGTCTGTTTATCAACTGAATTTTCTAAAAAAATGTAAGCGTGGTTCTACAAGCAATCAAGTCACAGTATAATCGAGATTAATCAGTTGACAAGTAGAAGATCTTACATAGCTCCACTAGCTAAATTTTCTTTTTTGGATACTTGAAAAGAATTAATACTCGTAGTTACTTACTTGTAAGACATGATCGCGTTAGTTGGTTTACATTGCACTGTGCTAGGCCTACGAACGCGGCCACAGAGCCATGTAGCAGGGTGACCGCGCGTGAACACCACTCCGGACTGCGCTTGGAGTCCACCGCCAAATGTAGGTATAGTCCGGTCCACAACAGGAATGATATTAACTTGGTCAACGATGTCGCTGATAGTTCAGATTTTGCTTCCATTCGTAGAACCGGTTGGGTTTGGGTTTTAAATTGCTCGGTTTGTTTTCATTTCAGTGGTTTGTTGTTGTGGTTGATTTGGTAATTTTTGATCGCTCACATGACGGATTTAATGTTGTCAAGTAATTAAAAAAGTTTAGGTCGTATATGAGAAATCTATAGTTTTCTCTTACAACTTTCTTTTAAACAATTTCTTACATCAAAATTGTTGTTTTGCTGATTTGAAAAATGTAGACGATTCTATATTATCGTACAAAGGAAAAATTAATTATTAAAATTATTACCGCTTGAGTGTAGTTAAAATTGAATTTTGCATCGGAAGGAAAGATTTATTATGTAAATCATTTATTCACGTTTATACAAATGTTATAGCTACAAAAATACCTTTCGCACAGTTCAGTCATTTAACGATTTAACAAATCTCTTTCCTCTTTATTGCATTTCCTATTGTAGCACAGAGCGACTTAAATATAAACAGAATGAATTAAAAACAAGGTACCAGTTAGCAAGATTCTATATACATCAACGCCCTTTCGTTTTAGTAGACCATGTTTTATCACATTGTAACAAAGTTTTTTACAGACACATTAGTTATTAGTTTTATAAAAATATTTAAATTAAAAGGTATTTTTAAACTCCCAATATTACCGGCAGCGAAGTTTATCGACATATTTCTCTATCGCTCTATACCTAGTTGGCGGCATAGCGTCTTTTAACATTTGAGGAAACCGCGAGTCCTCAGCGAGCGCCAGCCAGAGGTGCCTCGCGTGCGCCCGCGCCTCCGCACTCGCGTCGCCCAGCAGTTCCCCCGTCGCACGCAGCAGCAGTGTGCGCGGCTCCACCGCCATGTCCAGCGTCGGCGAGGCGCCGTTATGTCGCACCAGAGCCGCCAGCGCCTGCGCCGCCGCCGCGCGCACCGGCCCCGCGCGGTGTCCTGCGCCACGTCGCGCCAACGCCACGGCCGCGCGAGCCCCAACGCCACCGCACGCTATACGCCTTAACGCACTTGTTGCATCTGCTCGTAAGAACCTATTCACGTCGGCACACCGTTCTAGCAGCGCTCCCGTCGCCTCGTCCAGCTCCGGGTCGAGCGCGCGCCCGCGATACTCGAACAGCGCACCGAGGGTAGAACACGCCGCCCTGGCTACTTTGGACCGCAGCGAGCGGGCATGCGTGGCCGCCGCGCGGGTCGCTGCTCGCCAGCTGCTGGCGGGGGCACGCGCCGTTATGTCCATGGCCATCTGTTCGGTTTCCAGCAGTCCCGTCACAATGGCCTCCCAGTCCTCGTGCCGCGCTGGCATAATGCATTCCGCGAGCGCAGTTCGTACATCTCGTTCCCCTAAACTTCGTCTTCCGCTGCTCTCGCGGGCCAATTCCGGCGATATCCTAGCACTTTTCACTGGACTCGAAGGTTCACTTTTACTTTTAGAAACGACTGAAGATTTGCCACTAAGATGTTCGAGCTCTATAGATTCAATCGTTTCAACACTAGATTTTTGTACTTCAATAGTTTCTTTGACACTTTCTGTGGGAATCTCTTCTGTCTTTATTTCTTCGCCATGAAGGGAAGGATTAGACTTTTCCGAGACGTCCTCGACTTGTAGCGAAGGCGACTTAGGTGGTGACGAAGCGGTATCTTCTTCGGTTATTTGCGTTTCTACATTTTTATCGTCTTCATTTTCAGGAACTTTGTTTTCACTCTCAATTGGAGTTGCGACAATAGGTGTTGTCTCTATGTCATTAGCCGTATTGGTTAATGAGCTCGAGTCTCTGGAAATGAAAAGAGAAAACTAATGTTATGAACATATTAAACAAAAAATTGTTGTGTTGTTGATATGTATTTCTTAACACATCGTGCAAAGTGTGTCAGGTGTGCCGTGGGGGCGTAGCCCTATTGCGGCAAGTTATATCGTGTAACATAGTTTAAGTTGGCGAGGGTGTTACCGCGTGTGCGGGGGCAGGTCGGCGACGAGGTCGGGCCGTACGGACGCGGTGTTCCGCCGTTGGGAACAGCAGCACAGTAGCATGCCCACTGCCCGCGGCCGCGGCGCCTCCGCGACTGATTCACTGACACTGACGCGCCCCGACCTCCCCGGCCACTCGACACCCCCTGTCTACTCCGCATTCAATCGCTCTATGTGGGCGTGTTGATGAACTCACTACAAACATTGCTGCCGCTATCGCCTGCATATTATGCAAATAACCTGACTACAGATATGCGACTGCTAAATCGCTAATGTCAAGTTTAACGTTAACTTGATAACTTTAGTGCTAACTATGAAAAACGTATTATATTTTCCTTTTCACGTTATGTTTCTTGTAATTCTCGATATTGAAACCAATAAAAAATGGCACATAATATGTGCGAGTACTTTTCATGTTAAATTACCTATAGTAGTCACCTTTACAACAGGCGTATGTACGACTTTTAGAATTCTAGACTATGTTACTCTATCCGCCAAGTCATTGTTATTCTAGACCATGAATTTGTAAGTGTTTATTAGCCGTTAAACGTCTCGCTAACCCAATTCAAGATCTATTAGCCGATGTTTGTCCATTTGAAGTGGAACGATCAGGCGATAGCAGTAAATAGGTCGTATACAAACGCCCTCAATGGAAATCGAGCTATTACTTCGACTTAAATGTGGGTCAGTGGTGGCACGCAATTACATTTAGTGTTACGTCTATTAGTTTTTTTAATACGTGCGTGCTAAGTACTAATATAAACCCCTGATACGTCGCCGTTGCCAGTCGAGATTTTAATCACATTGTATTAATAGCGAAAAAACTGTTCTGAAAAACCCAAACGTCTGGATTAGCGACCTACTAACCTCTTTAAGTCGGTGCAAACTGCATACGATTGTATTGTTTATTGGAGCAAAAAGCGAGAAGCAATTACTCGTACTAATGAAGTCTTTAGCTTTCAAATCTAACCCTTTATCTTTACTGGAACATACATTGGAGAATAAAAGAAAATTTGTCACCCTATCTTCCTTTCGTATTGAATCCTATCTTAAGAAATAAAAATTTGTAGCGTGCGTATTTTCATCGCGTAGCACTGGACAAAATATGTTTCTTGCGTAGGCAAGTATCCCCGTATTACCTACTCGTATCTATCGCGTAGCGTTGCTACGTAACGCTACGTCCAAACTTTGGCCCTTTCTTAACCTTCAATCAAGTCGCTTTCATTGAAGGACTCGACTCAAATCGCCTTACATTTTCGTACCAATGAAGTCACCCGGTGAGGTTGCTGTGTTAGTCATATATCGATTTAATGTTAGTAGAATTGGGGCTGACACCTATTGTTGAGGGAGTGATTAGTATATTACGCGAATTCCTAAAGAATCGGTTAAGGTTGTAATCAAATTATCTTATTTCTTACTAATATTATAAATGCGAAAGTAGTGTTTGTAGTCTAAACTACTGAACGGATCTCTGTGAACTTTGACACAGCGGTAGAACATAGCCTGAAAGAATTCATAGACGACTTACAATTTTTATCAATTCCACGCGTACGGAGTTATGAGCGAAAGCTAGTAGTATAATTATTGTTAAATAAACACAGAGTTAGTAACATTTTGTACTAGCGGTATTTCTCAGCTAATAATTTAAAAAAGTAACCTTTAATATTCCCGCCTTTATTAGTTACGTTATGACATGTGAGCATTTCGGTGAACAACACCCACTTTGCTGCTGTCAGCTGAATTAGTTCTCATTGTATCAAGGTCCACAGTAAATGTTAGGGCAATTCAAATCAAGAAATACGACCGGTATTAATTAGAAATACTTTTCGTATGTATGTGTGTAGCTACTTCTAGGTTTGACCTGAATTTTTCAAGTTTGTATGGTTTAGTGTATTCGATGTTTTCATGAGTATGTTAGTGTGAAAATATCACTAGATTTAGCTTTTTGTCGTCCTCTAAGAAGTGAACATTGAGAGGTTTTGTTTAGTTCGGATGTATTTTTAAAGATATTTATTAGGCTTATGTACGTGTTCACAACTTTTTATGGTGAAAAAAGATCACTAAATAATGTTGTGTTACAGCCAAAATAAGCCATGTTACAAATACCTCGAGTACGTACTTGATTTTATTAAATCTAAACGGTGATTAACACAATCACTGTTTACCCGGCTCGTTAACGAATAGTTAATCCGGGGTTTAACAAAAGCTTTGTTAGTGATTCATGATAACATTTTTCTGTCGTAATAGATAGTTCGATCTATTTTAATAAAAAAGCAAAAAATTTATTTTTAACTTTGCAATAAGAATGCCAAAAACTTACCTATCGCTTAATTCAATGGGCGACAAAGGTTTCATTATTACATCTCTTGCTTGTGTGACACCTGAAACAAATAAAAACATTTGTAATTCATTTAAATTGTTTCTTTTTTTTCTTTTCGCGACTTTCACTCCTAGAGGTGATTTAATATTTAAAACCTAGATTTTTTAATTGTTTACTAAAATTGAATTATGGTATGAAAGTATAAGTTACTGGGCAGTGGCGCGGAGTCGGGCAGCGGGCGCAGGCGGCGCGGCCTGGCCGGCGGCGCCGCGGGCGGGGTGGACCGCGCGCGTCTCGTCGCCACCGGTAGCTGGGAACTTCTGATGGAAAGTTTCATATTTATACACTTGTCATGAATGGTAGTTAGTAAGATCTTTGGTTAAAATTTAGTTCAGTAAGTACCTGCTAAAGTGACTCGGTCGAATATTTTCAATCGGCTTGTTCAATCTTTCGCGAAGCTGTAGACGATATTGTTTATGATGTTAATTTTGTAAAGATTAAGTCCACCATAAGTTCAAGAATTTGTGACCGAATACCATGTTTTCGGTTACCTGTCGACAGAATGCATCAGCGCGCGCGGAGGCGGCGAGGCGGCGGCGCACGGCGGCCATGACCGCCGCGCGCGCCACGCACAGCGCCGCGCGCAGCTGCCCTGACTCCGCTTGCTTACTGTCACACATCTGGACAACATTACACAGCTTAAATATCTCTAACGGAGAGTTATATAATACAACATTGTGATGTAGTTCGCAATTGAAATGCATTTATAGAACTATATTTTTGGGGATATAACAAAATTTTCTAGTTCTCAAAACGTAAGTTTTTTAAATTATAAGGTGGCAAACTAGTATGCGTCCTCCTGAATCCGCCTAAAAGCGAAGCGACCGTTGCCTATAGTCATACGCAATTGCAGATGAGTTTCCTACTTTTAATCGACGGATGAGACGTACAAAAAGGGGATATTTCCCTTTCCAATCTCTTCCACCGTCAAATCTAAAGAAAAGCCAGTCCATTCGAAATATGATATAAATAAAATACTTATGTATGTGTTTGACTTACTCCAATCATATCAGGATCGAATATGAGATCAATTAGATGATGCAGTGCAAGTCGCTGTAACAACGCATGCGGTAGTGCTGCGGGCGGCGGGTCGCGGGCTATGCGCGTCACTAACGCGGGCAGCAGCTGCCGCGCGCAAGAGCTGCTCACGCCCCGCACTAGCGCGCACACCGCGCCCTCCGCCGGGGCACGCGTCGCCGGCACCTACACTCAAACATAAGGAAAATTTAACAGAGATATAGCACTATTATTTAAAGACAATAAAATAAATATGTTTTAAATAAAATTCCTATCTATAGTATAGTAACTGACCGCGTCGCTGAGCGCCCACATGTGTTGCACGAGTGAGAGCGCTGCGGGCTCGGCTCTACGCACGCTGCCCGGTTCCAGCAGAGCGCTGTGCAGCTGGTCGGCCGCCCGTACAGCCGCTATCCAGTTCTCCTAATAAAAGAACATTTACTACAATATGCATAAGGTCTAAAATCGCCTCATAACGTCTGTGCGTTTGCGATGCAGAGGTTATATGTATGTCTGTCCATAAAAAACGTCTTTGCGTTTATCGTGTGGCACTTCCCATTGGCTAAGCAATGATGTACCACTGACGCTTATCCCGTGTGGCATCTATTTTAGTATTTTAAACTAACCGTATTATGCAGCTGATCGCAGACGTGTGGCGGCATAATATCCAGGTCCTCCCAGTCGTAGCGGCGGCGTAACGGGGATGCCGCGCGAGGCGACAGCATCAATGACTCGGGAGGGGATGCAGCCACCAAGTTCAATACGAACCTACGGCATACCACATAGATGTGTCTATTACTGCATATATTAAATACCACCCTAATGATTAAGGACTACTTATTATGCAGTCCTGGGTTCAACGCTGCCAAAGATAATTAAACGTATCTTATTACAATTTAAGCTTATTTGGCTAGATTACAATCGCATAGTGTTAAAGTACTGTTGCACGCTAAGTCATACTTTAAAACTTATTTGGTTTAAAACTGTAATTTTCTCTGAAATACATAAGGCAATTCTATACTTGTTATTTTAAACTGTAGCTCCATAGAGACAGAATAGACCTCGTGCCTAATTCTATCAGCCTACGCTCAAATAGATTGTGCTGGGTCGAAGGATGCGAGTTACGCAGATTTGACTAGTAAATTGCTTAAAGTACCTATTCTCATTATCTTTATGTCTGTAGTTACGTAATGGTACGATGATATCCATTACTAGAATAAAACAATTACTAAAAAAATCAATAATTAAACGACTATATTTGATGACACACGCATGTTTACGACTTAGCTATTAGTTATCTGTAGTAACTTAACATTCAAAGATTACGTTAAAATTGGACCTTTAATCATTCTGTTTGTTCAGTGTCTTTTAACAGTGCTTACTCTAATTTGCAAATACTATTGTGTGGTTGTTACTCACCCATCCTTTTCTATATGAACTCTAGTTTGTTGTCTTGTTGGAGAAACCGATGGGCTTCGCTGAAGATTGTGGAGTACTTCCACTTCCTTGTGTGCCTCTACAGGACTGGGAATTTTCTCAGGCGATCGTACTTCAGATAACGTCAACGCGAATTTAGATGTATCCCGAACCTTTGCATTATCAACGTCAGTTTTCTTGTTGAAATAATCGTATAACTCACTCAATGATTTTGATTTTGATTTGATTGTATTATTAACCGAATCGTTCTGTTTTCGATTACGATTGTGAATTACAGGAAGAGGTATTGCACTCTTTTTGACGTGATTCGTTCGAAACTCTCGTTCGACCGTTTCTCGTTTGATTTCGTTCATTTTATTGACAATATTTGGGGTAGTCGGTAAAACTACTTCTATGCTTTTTTCTCGCATCATAGAGTTATGATTGCTGTCTTCTTCACTAGTGGTTATGTTATCGCTATCAGGTGTTCGAATTTTAATGCTTTCTCCGCCAAACCTTACTTTCTTCACAACAACATCCGAATCTTCTGATTCCTCATCGCTATATTTTAACATATTTCGATCGATGCTGTCATCGTCGTCGCTCCCCGTGTTCTTCTCTGACTCAGTTTCGTTTTGTTCTAGCACCGTCATTGTGATAGCTGTATCCGAGTCGAACTTTATTTCCGTCTCTATTATAACTTTTCCATAATTGTTCGTATAATAAGGCATTGCGTAAGATTCTTCTGACGAAGAATCGGAGGGGAAGCGAATAGGGGCTTTGAAATTATTATTATTAAAACTGTGATTCATCTTGATATGCTGTGAATCTCGATTGCCGTAACTTCTTCTTGGAGCGTAGTACACATCGAGAGAATCTTCGTCGAATTTATCGCAGAGTACACGGAATTTGTCCTGCACCTTAGGATCCAATCTTGAGAAGGCTAACATATAATCTCGCGGTCCACAAATTCTTCGAAGTTTCATAAGAGAACGGAGAGCGACATCTCTGTGTACGGAATTAAATAGTTTATCCCCTAAAATATTAAAAATTGGGAACATATCTAAACCTGGGTTTCTACGTTTAAGGATAGCCATCACAGACGGAATCGATAGAACTAAGCCTGTTATAACATTTACTTTGGTATCGAAGCCTGAGGAAAGGGGTCTGATATTATTATAAGAGCATTTATCTATAATTGCACTAGCGGCACATTCTGTATCTTCGCAGTAGTTGCAGAAAACTTTAAGAGCATCTAAGGCGGCCTTCCTTACGTTCGGGGAGCCATGTCCTAAGTTATCGATGACTTGATCGAATGGGAAGGAGAGAGCGTTTCCTGATAGCGGCAGGAGATCAGCGAGCACTCTGAGGGCATGAAGACGCACTTCCCACTCAGGATGCACGAGGCGGTCTCTGATGGCCACGTAGAGCAGGTCGACGTCGAGGTCGGGCGGCAGCGCGCGCGCCCGCAGCACGCGATCCCATAGCGGGGCGAGCGGCGGCGGCGGCGGCGTGCCCGGCAGCTGCATGGCGCGCGACTGCCGGCCGCGTCCGCGTGCCCGCCCGCGCCGCACAGCGCCGTTCAACTGGGTTAATGATCGGACGGTAAGCCACGCCGTCTCTGACCAATCGATGGCGGTCTAACACGACCCCTATTACTCGCACGTACTGTCTAACAGCGTCTTTACAATTAACGTAACTTGCTAACGTCGTGAAGTCTACGATGGAGGTGTTGGACCTCGTTCAAGGTCATATAAAAGCCTTGACAAAAAATATATTTCAAATTATCTATACAGGATAGTTAAGTATAAAAAAGTCAAGACTGCTCAGTGGTTAAGCGGTTTGCCTTTGAATGTAAAGACCTCTTATCAGATCTCACGTAGGGCGATTGATTAAATTGGGCCAGCAATTTGCTGTATGCTTACTTATAAAATGAGGAGTATAAATTATTAAATGTAAAGCCTACTGATAAGACTGCAGTGTCCATTCTACACAGTTAAGAGTCGCGAAGATGTGATAGTTCGTTTGGACCAAATTAAGGAGTAATATTAAATACGATTTGACCACCGAATAAGTGAAGAATTTGTATCATCGTGGGTTCTGCAAGTTTGTTCGTTGACCAAGCACTTCATTATAAGAACATTTTTTTTTCATCACTTTTTACTTGATTTTTTTTCTTCTTATTTACGTACTCAACAGAGTATACACCTTTCGATTGTCTATGCTTTAACAAGATGACAACTGACCATAAACCTCAACCATAAAGTAAAAGAGAAGACTCAAATCTCAAACAAAACTCATGTTGTTTTATAGTTTGTTCTCAATTTATTAAAATAACATTAATCTTTTTACTATGATTAAGTCTTCGAGAGAAAAGTAGTATAATTATAAAATGTTTCATCTGAGTTTTTCAAAAATGCATTATTAATAGCAAGTGACAACTACATATAATGCTATCACAATGAAGCTAAGATCACTCATATTTTTAATATTTACTGCCTCCAATCTACATTTGATAATTGCTGAAAATGAAAATTGTACGAGAAGCAGCAGCCGTTGTGACTATAAGGCTAACGTGCGGAGATTATCAGACACGCTTGCCAGTAAGTTTCGTGAAATAGTGACCCAAGAACTTGGAAGCGAATATACAAATCACTTCGAGTTAAGAAATGCGTTTAAGGTGAACCGATATCAGTACAATGACAATAATATACTAGATAGTATAACAGATAAGTTAAATTACAAGCTTTCCTCGGCGACTAATATTCTGGTGGAAATGAAGAATGAAATGAACCAAAGCAATACTCCGTCCTTTACTCACCCTTGCCCTTTCAATTCCATTCGTAAATCTGTTTTTATTAAAAATACAAATATGTACAACTTGCCTTACATGGACACTAAATCTAAAATGCTAGATAGATTTAAAGACTTGAAAATAAAGAGACAATACTTCCTATCCCATATGGATTATGCAACTGATAAAGATTGTACAACTGTGCCACATTCTAATTTAAGATATTTATATCATAAGATAATACACTCCAATCCTAAACTAATTGTTTTTATTATTGACAACACTATATCGGCAGAGTCTCTTTTGCATGCTTTAGCTATAACAAAGGAGACTGCATATGCTCTACAGAGTATAGACATGATGGCTCTAAAGATAACAAATACGACAGACTTTTTCAAGTTTGAAGATTCTTGCAGTTATGGCATGTCAAATTTAGGCAATGCTACGGAAAATAATAAGCTGTTATTGCGGGAATATCTGACTACCATTGATATTTCAAGTTCCAATGTATCACCACTAACAATAAATATGGAAATACAGAAGTTATTACTTGAGAAAAAGTTGCCAAAAGAGAAATTATTCATATTATTAACAGACTCTAAGATATTAAAAAATGATACATGGTTGAAAATATTTCCATACAGCAAACACGAGGAGGACATTAAATTTGCAATTGGATTAATAAATGAAGGTGATATTGATAAAAATGGATCGTTAGAAATTTTACATGTTGATAAAGGACATAATCATTCTAAAAACAATACTATAATGAGGCTACATATAAATGATAGTGGAGTAATTGGTCAAATGGCTTCAGCATTTATATCTTTACTACCTAATAAATATGAAAATGAAATAAAAATGGAAGGCCCTGTGTGGGAAGCTACGGAGCGAGATTTTATGATGTCACTTGTTTACCCAATTTCAGCTGGTATAATTGGCTTAGATTTATATTGGTCTGATCTTGCGGAAGATATTATTTACTTTAAAGGAACCAATCAATGGAAAAGAGCATTCATCATGGATTTATCAGGAAAAGTTCTAATGCACACATATTTCCCAAGGCCAGAAGCAGCATCTGAAAAGATTAAATTTACTTATTTAGACGCGATTGAACCATATGATTTTATAGATGAGGTTAAAAAACATTTGTTGTCACAAAAATCAGGTAATAGTACATTTCTTGATCAAAATAGTACAAGAACAATAACATATTCTTGGAAATGGGTACTAAATTTGTACATTGTATGTGTTGTGTCTGAATCTTCAAACTCCAATTTATTCAATAAGTCAAACATATTTTTTACAAAAAGCAGTAAGGAAATTTTATTCCACAGGCTTGATTTATTTCCACCAAAATCGGGTACAACTTGTCGACATTTTAAGCAGATAGCTACTATTGATCAAGGTACTGTTTATCTAAGTCCTTCTAGTTTTCAATCTCCGTTTACATATCTTTATGATATGGGTGATGGTCAGGAAGCAGTGACGTATATGCAAAACTACTTAGCTTATTTAAAAAGTGTCGCCCATGGCTGGCTGTCTAATCCTGGCCTTAAAAATGAGATACAACAAGATGTTGGTTTCCTCAACTCCATTTTGTCATTTTTCAAAAGGCAACATTTGCATGGACCTTATTCTAAATATGTTGTCAGAAGATATGCCGTGACTGAAAGTGGTGTTTTAGTCATGTATCCAGGGACTGTCTTAGAGTATGATTATGAACCAGTCAGAAGACAATGGTTTACATTTGCTATGGAAAACCCTGGGAAAATAATTTTAACACCACCAAATTTAGATGTAGGTGGTGCAGGATATGTTGTGACTATTTCCTATGCTATAAAAAGTTTAGTGTATCCAACTATGGTTGTATCTATGGATGTCACTATGGGGTTCCTTTACAAACTTCTTATTGATAGCTTACCACTGTGTGCCATGTCTTATGTAAAATGTTTAATAATGAACAATCGGGGATATTTAGTTTCTCATCCTGGTTTGATGGATCCTAATAGCTCTGGTCCAATAGAACAACAGCATATTACTCATAAAGAATCAATGATTGCAATTGATTTGTTAAATCATAAGGGTTTTGTCACAAAAAGATTGTGTAATAATTTCTTTGATAAAACTATACAAAGGTTTTATGAATTTAATACTTCCTTGCCAAATGTGCTCTCTAATGTAGTCCCTGGTGATCATTGTATACATTACTATATAGCTACAATACCTGGAACAAATGCTTTTATAGGTTTAGTTAATGCATCATGTAATGTAGGAGCGTTCTGTCCATGCAGCATGGTTGATAGACTATGTTTGAATTGTAACCGCATGGAGCAAAATGAATGTGAATGCCCATGTGAATGTAGCTCTGAGATTTACGATTGTCCAGATGTGAATATGACAAGAATAAACAAAGATATACCACTTTGCGGTTTGATGCCAGAAAATAATAATCATAGATCGCATTACTTCCACAATTTTGCGGAAAACTTAAAATCCTGCTTCGATTTTCAATGTGAAACTTACCTTACACATTCTAGTTGTTTAGGTGTTTTAGGTTGTGAATGGTGTCAAGTAGATGCTGATGGTAGAACGCCTTTATCCTCACCATTTTGTACATCGCAGTCTACGTGTTTTAATGGAGTGTTAGGTGCTGTAACACCGTATGGTGAAAGTACATACGGTCATGCCAATAGAGAAGCTTTAGGAAGTTATTCTGCGATTGGTCCAATAGCGGGTTGTATTATTACAGTTAGTTTAGTGATAGCAGTAGCGATATATTGTTATAGACAAAATGTGACGACAGCCAGTTGCCATAATTTATATGTAGACGGCCCAGCAGAAACGTGGCACGATGCTGATGTGCAAATGAGTCACTTGCATTCTGAAGATATGCACGATCAGTCGGGCCAGGATAAATTGTTACCGGCAATGGAAATAGAAGCGCCGATATCGCCGTACCGCGTCATCACTGGCTACAGGCGTCCGCACACTGCAGGTGATTCCGATCACGGTTACTCTACCATGACACCTCACGAAGATTCCGAAGCAACAGGATTCTCAGTTAATGATCCAATTATTTTATCGGACGACACAAAATCGGATGTCAGCTGCCCGATTCCAGCCAAGATAAAGCCTAGATTAAAATCTGATTTTACGACCGTTGTACCTTGCGGTAAAAACAGTATAATAGCCCCAGTGACTGTTCATAGACACATGGAAGCATCATAGTAATAAATATAAGTTAATCTACCTCTTTTGTACATAATGCTGATAATCAATGTTGATTATTGTGATATGTTTGTTTGCTGACAGTTTTTATAACATAAGTTTTTTTGGTAAACTTGATTTTGTACTTGCAATTTTTTTACATCCTTTGGTGCTCGTTCTTGTACTATTACTTTTATGGTATTAATGTTCCAGAGAACAAATTGTACTACTATTTGACTACTTTTATTACTTAAGACGGTACTTAAAACTATGTATACTTTTAAGTCATATCGGATACGTAACATTTAAGAGGAAATAAAATGGAGCAGGTTATTGTATACAGGTTACTTCGTAGCTATAGTATTTATGACTTTATATGTTACTTTTTGATATATAAGGTTTACTTTTTATTTTTATACTGTGCCAGTGCCTCCTGCAGACTAATAATTTGTAATTGTGCGTATTTTTAAGACTGACCTTAACGTTACATGATAAAATAAAAACTATTTTATAAAACAAATATATTTTACTCTTATTTATTATTGAAATAATAACACACAAAGGTAAAGACTCAAGAAAATAATATATCCCTCTTGTACATATTAAAGTGTTCATATATCTTGGCGGCTCTTACTTGTGGCGCGCCGCGCAGAAAAGAATTTGAAGTGTAGCGGGGTATACAACGGGGAGGGGAAGACAATGCGCAGCGCGCCTATGGCCTTGAGCCTCAGATATTAGAAAATAATATTACCTCTGGTAGCGGTAATATTACTTAATTACCGTTTACTAATTATATAGGTTTATTTTTAGAGTTTAATAAAAAGAAATTAGACATCGACTTTTAGAGTTGTATTTCACTCGTCGAAGCGTATGTGTGTGTGCGTTGGCTGCGGGGAGGCGGGTGCGAGGGCGGGCGCGGGGGCGGGCTCGCGAGCGCGCGCGCGTCTCCCCCGCCGCCCTGCCCCCGCGCCCGCCCCCGCCGCGCGCGACTCCTCCGCGCGCACCCACTGCTCCTGCTCCTCCGCGCCGCACAACACACGCGCGCGGTTGTTCGAATTTGTACAATACTGTGAACAGAATAAGGTCCTAATTACATCACCGACTTCGGCGTTTTACAAGACCTAGTCACAAAGAATAATGCGCTGTTTACACCTGGCCAAAATAGCATAAGGCATTGATAGTATGGACTATATGCCAGTTGAATGCCAATCTAGTTACTGATTTAACTGTCCAACTTCAGTAGCCAAGTGTGAACTAGGCAAAAATTAAATCGTTAGAAGAGTTACCCAACTACAAATTAAGAGAAAATGAAATGTATTTTTTATGGCATTACAAAGATAATATTATTTTTTCAATCACATTTTTATAATATCGTGAACCAGTTACCCAAAAATATATTTACCTCATCAGCAGCCTTAGATGAGTCAAAGCGAATGATGACCTGTGAAAGTCCCTCTTTGGCTTCCACATGTTGAGCGTGGATATTACTTTTAATCTGCAACATACATTTTAAAGGTGAAAATATAAACTTTGTAGTCTGGGGTCATTTTACCATATTGTAGTTTTAAATGTACATTAAAAGACTAGCTTTCGCCCGCGGCTCCGTCCGCGTAGAATTAAAAAAAAAACAAAAGAGAGTAGCCTATGTTTTCCTCCAGACAATCTACATCTACACCAAATTTAATCGAAATCCGTTCAGCCGTTTAGGCTACAAACTCTAACAAACATCCATCCTTCAAAAATTTCGCATTTATAATATTAGTATATGTAAGAAATTAAATACTCACAGTTCTTTTAACAAGCCTGACGTCAAGGCAAGGTTCTGGCAGCACTTCCTCTACAAACACACCTGGTATTCTCTCCAAGGGTGTGACTGTTTTACTGCTTTCTATCTCTTGAGGTTTTATTGCTGTAATTTTATAAATTTAGTATTACTATTGATCTGTTACTTAGACATAACACACTGTATAATGTTTCAAATGAGTCATGAAACAAAAATTAGCCAAGATAATGTATAACCACTGTTAAGAGACATCCTGCATTTGCAGATGCATTGCCTACCCTTAACCATCAGAAAGGACACACGAAAAGAAGGAAATTCCATTGCCTATGCCACACCCTCACTGTTATCGCACATCATATTCCATCATATACTCTATTTCTCATATTACATATTCTATCTCTTTTCCAAAACAAATGAGTGAAATAAAATATTTTTGGTCATATATTGGTAATATGGTAGAATATGTACCTGATTCGCCTTCTAACGTGGGCGCTGCAGACGCTGGGATTGCTGTATAAACATTCTTCTTACTGTGGTACATAGCTCGAGCCTCTTTCATATATTTCCTTTGTAAATTGAGATATTTGTTCCTTAGTGCCTTCCATTCACATTTCGGTAGAACTTGCAAACCCCATAATCCGTTTTGTACTTCTGTCTTATTCAGTTTCTTGTCTTTTGTACCATTTTTTGTCTTTCTCTTCTTGATTTTCTTCTTCCGACGTGGTGATCCATCATTCTTAGATTCATCTTGACTGGTCATTTCATCTTTTGATTCTGCATCTGTTGTCTTACCTTCCTAACGATAAAATAAATTATTTTAGTAAAATCTTCTTTGAAAATAATTGCCATTGAAATAATGTTGAATTTATTTACCTCTGTAGGTGTTGCTAAACTTTTACTCTCATCCTGCAAAATAATAAGATACATTATTTAAGATAGAAAAATTGTTACTTCAAGATGCAAACATTGTGGGTGAGTAGTAAATTTATATAAATACTAGCTTTCGCCCGCCACTCCGTCTGCATGGTTTTAAAAAAAAAGTAAGTAGCCAATGTGTTCTTCCAGACTGTCATCTACATCTACACCAAATTTCAATTAAATCCGTTCAGCAGTTTAGGCTACAAACTCTAACAAACATCTATCCATCCATCTAAACTTTCACATTTATAATTTTAGTATGATAGAAAGCATTATTCTTTACCTCTGATGGTGTTGCTAAGCTTTTAGTTTCTTCCTATAACAAAAAACATATTAAATACTTATTAATTAATGATACATTAACATATTTTTTAATTTTAAATGTTAATAAACTTACACTTGGTGTTTCCACTCTTCTTTCAGAATCAGAATCATGTTCAATCTTCAGTTCAAGATTCTTCTTTTTGTCTTTTGATTTCTTGTTCTTCTTCTTCGGTGGTTCATAATCTTCTTTACTATCATTTGCATCATGTGGTGGTTCATCTACCGAAAACATTTTTATAGAAGATAGTTCTTCAGGTGGCATACATGTTGGTAACTTGCAGCCCATTTTTATAAAGGCATTGATACATTTCTGTGCTTCTTGAGGTTTTTCAAATTCAATGAAACCAAAACCCTGGAACATTCATAGAACTAGATTGAATTATAATAAAATAAATTTTTGACAATAATAATAGTAATAATCATTATGCAATTTTTGACAAAACAAGCTAATGGTTTTTATTTAAGTGAAAGTAAATTTATCATTGTCAACATCAGCTTTCAATTATGTTCTAATATGGACTGTCACCCAATTCTTATTAATCTAGATGCATGCACTAGGCATTATATAAACCAAAGGCGTTAGCAAGGAGTGCATATGAAGGGGTGTTCATAGACATACATGCTTAAGAAACATATACTCAGACATTTTCAAACAAAACATGGTTAACCTTACCTTAATTCTTTGTGTATTTCTAAATTTCGGCAATGAAATGTATGCTACATGTCCATAATTCGAGAAAACTTTCTTTAACCACTCTTGTGTTGCTTTAACCGGTATTGATTCTACGTAAACAGTTCTTGCATCAACATCATAAGGCAATAAAGGGGTTTTTCTTTTAACCTGAAAATATAAAATAAGATAAAATGGTATAAAACTCATTCCAAAGAAAGAGTTAAATATTGTAAGCATCAAATTTTGTGAATAGCAGATCTCATTAAAAATTAAACTATTTCTCTATAACTCTAATTGCGGGAAAGTGATGTAAAATTATATTATATTAAAATCTATTGTACCTTAAGTTTATCTTCAGATAGTTCCAAGAATGAGGAATGTGATAAAGCCTTCGCAATATCGTTGATTTCTTGAGTCATTGAATTGATTTTGTTGAATTTTAAAAATTCGTTGATAGGCACGTATGGGTCGTTATTCACTAATTCATTGAGATAGCGATCCTTGCTTAAGTTGGCATCGCTAAAGTAAAATTCCATTTGTTTTATGATGTTATCGTACAGTTGTCGTTTACGATGCCGTACTCGCTTTCTGGGAATGTTTTCAAGCTTCGATTCTTGTTTTTGATCAACAGTTTCTGCGGTTTCTGATTCCGGCATCTTTATATTACCTCTAAGGTAAATTTTATCAATTCAAAATTCAGCAAACAATCTACTAAACCAACGGATGAGAAACTTTTGGAAATGTGACACTTGACAGAAATGTGACAATTGCAATAAGAATATGACAGGTGACACTGGCAGTAACAATCACAAATTACAACACCAAGAGAGATATAAGTTCTGAAACTCAGAAGTTTGGTAAAATATTGCAAGAATTTATGTTTTATATAATTACATAAAATTGTGTTGTTCATTACTTAAACACAGCATACGATGATTTAAAATACATTATGGAATTCGTAAAAAATATATCTGGGTGAAACAAGCAAGAACATTGGTTCGCCCTGGTTCATAATGGAACACAATAGGATTTTGACATTTCTCAACTTTTCGTGGTCCAGTTCCGTCGTGTCGAGTATATGTGGAATAAATTTTTGTTAGATTGTGAGGCGTTTCGGGAGATTATTTGTTATAAATATTATTTCTGTTTCAATGCTTTCCGTTACGATTATTTTTGTGTTTCATTAAGTGTGGATGCTGTGTCTCATTGATCATAGATTTCAAAGATAGATTTGTGGCAAGGAAGATGTCAGTATTTATCTTGCACAGTGTTATTTCCGTTAAATTGTGGTAAATAATCGCAATGTCAAAAACAATAAAATCGGCCAACATAACTTTAAAGCCTATCGAGGTATCAAAGGCTTTACAAGAAGGGGAGAAATTTATAAAATGGGATGAGGTGAGTACTTTAATATTTTGAAAAGTTATTGAAACTTTTTTCACTGAAGTACAAATTTGAAATTGTTAGAAATTATCTTTTCTTAAATCTTTAACATTCTTAAGTTATTAATAAAAAGAAAGTATTATTAAAATTATTGTTTTTATTTAGGATTCCGGGGCTGGACTACCCGTTACACTTCGGGTGGATCCCAAGGGATTCTATTTATTTTGGACTGACCAGAATATGGAAGTAGAAATGCTGGACATAGCAACTATCAGAGATGTCAGAACTGGTGTCCATGCTAAACTGCCTAAGGTAAGTACACAACTATAAAGGTTTTTTGTATAATCATAATTTAATGTTATTGTTTTTGTCAAAAAAAGAAGAGTAATGACTTGTGGCTGGATGTTTTACTACATAATACATAAATATGAGATCAGGGATTTGTTTACAGTTTATTGAGACAATTATTACAAAATTAATCAGAAGTAGTGGTCAGAGTATTTTCATTTGCAGTAATTTCTGACAATAAAGTGTGCAACAGGTTGTGTAGCTGTTTTATTAGAATTCAGTCTAAAATATTAATTGTTTTTATCTTCAATCTTATGTACACACAACAATGTTAATTGCTCAACATGATAGAATTTAATATGTGCGTCTTAAATCTATTTATTTATTTATTTATTTATTTATTTACAATAGGAAGCCAACATATCACATGAAATAAGTTCTGTATGATGAAGAAAACTAATTATAA